TGCACCATTTAGTGTGGTGCAGATTGAAACATCGAGCATAAGCATGAGGGATGAACTCCACAGTGTCTTTAGCCATCATTGGAAGAGCTATTCAGAGGATAGAACGACGAACGATGAAGATATGAACTTCATTAGACAGAAACTGCAGCACTTCAATAATAACTTATCACTTAAACTCCTTGTTCGAGATAATCCGTTCTATTAAGGGACATTTTATTAACAGTGCTATGTATCACATGTGGATCACAGGAGGAATGTGTTTTGTCTGTAATTTGAGGTGAAAATGCAATTTTTCGCCAACCTATATGGGCTGTTTGTGCTCTCCAAAGAATAGAAAGTAAAATACAACGTTTATTACAGGTTTGAATACTTTTGAAGCATGCCACAGATATGCATTGTTGGTGTTTCTGTGTCTTCCCTCGAGAGGTTTGTGGATAAAACAAAAATATCTTAGTAGCTTTCACGTCGACTGTCAGGATTTCTGCTACAAATATTCCTGTTTCCTAGAGAGGATGGATTAAATTGACTTAGGTGAAGTTCAAGCTTGATGTTTTGGTACTAAAATATGTTCAGATATTCATGGGTCTCAGCTGATCCCAATGAATGATGGTGGCACTTTTACATATATTGTAAATAGTTGGATTATTAGATCAATAACATTTGGTAAAAAAACATTCATGATCCCCAGTGGATGACATCTATAAAATGAATTGACCTACTAGCCTTTCATCTATGTCATCTATAGGGTCAGAAATTCTCTACAAAATGTTAGTTCATTACCAAATACCTGCTAAACTAATGACAGCCCCACAAGCCTTGTGTTTATTTTATTAGCAAATGTTAGCATGTCGAGCTAATGTCATGACCTGGCTCTTGGCCATAACAAAAGTGTGGAAAGGACAAGATATATGAAAAGATATTTATTAACAACAATCCAACGTTAAACAAAACTAACATAAAGGCAGGGCAAAAGCATAAACAAAAAGGCTGCTCTCCCAGAACAGGTCTTCCGCGGAGAGAGTGATCGAGAGTCTGGCTCAGGCCTTTTACTCCTCCAGCCAGGCGTCCTCAATCAGCGCTGACAGGCAGAGGGAGAGCATTAAAGGGCCACACACACACAGCAGGAGATAGCAAAGCAGGGGTCGTCACACTAAAATGTATATCTGCTGAACGTGAATGTGCTAGCATTAACATTGTGAAGATGATAGCATGCTGATATTAGCATTTAAGTCAAAGTTTTGTTAACAGAGAAATAGTCCCAACAACAAACTGTCCTCAATGACTTTGGAGATCCGGGAAAACACATAGTTTTTTTAATTATATTTTAAATTCCCTTGGGCAGCATAAATAAAACTAGTTCATAAAAGATGGCGAAGCTTGAAGAAATGCAAAGAAAACACAAGGGATTATCGTCTCTCAGACTTTGGTATTCCACTTGTGTTGTTGTTTATGTAAGAGTCCTTCTGTGGTCAGCATGCGTGAAGGCGTTATTGTGAATGCCGTGAAATAAGTAATCCTACTTTTTGGTGAAATTGTACTTACTTCATTGTGTGAGTATGCTTCCTAAAACTTCCTGAAGTGACCCTTTTTAAAATCTGAGCGAGATGTTGGATTAAGATAAAGAAGACAAAAATGCTAATCCCTCCCTTCAGCTAAATTGGAAGTGTAAAGAAAGCCTTCCCACTTCCCCTTCTCTCTGCTGTGGGCCGAGAGAAGGAAGAATATCTGGAACGAGAGGCTGCTTTTAATCCAGAAATCTCTGTTCATTATATGCTTAAACCAAATACATAATCCTGTGTGTTCCCAGCTGACCTGGTCTTGGATGGTTGCCACTGATGGAAAGATGGATAGCTTCAGGGGGAAAACGTAGATCAACAGACCTCTGTAGTCTTTGTCTGGTCACGGACATACAGCGCAGCGAGCAATACAGCTTCATCTGCCTTTTGTCAGCACTCTCGCATGCCTCTGCTCCCACACACACTTATTCAAATCTCATTTGAATATGCCCACACGGTTGCTCGGATTTCACTGTCAGTCGTTCTCACAAAGTTTCGCTCTCTCACTTCCCCAGACACACACACACACACACACACACACACACACACACACACACACACACACACACACACACACACACACACACACACACACACTTCTCCCTAACTCCTGTATCCAGAAGCTGAGATTTGCTCTCTTAATAGAGCAGCTAATCTCTCTCAAAGCATCTATTTAGCATGCACAGTCCAACCTCTCTGTCTCTCAAAGACGCACCTTCTTCTGCAAATACACACACACACACACACACTCACACACACACACACACACACACACACACACACTCACACTCACACGCACACAACGAAGTGATTTGATCTCTCCATCAGTCTTTAGTTTTACATTTTCTCCCCGTCAACACCAATGGTGACATTCAGAGTGCCCTTGTGACAAGCAGAATAAGTGTGTGTGTGTGTGTGTGTGTGTGTGTGTGTGTGTGTGTGTGTGTGTGTGTGTGTGTGTGTGTGTGTGTGTGTGTGTGTGTGTGTGTGTGTGTGTGTGTGTGTGTGTGTGTGTGTGTGTGTGTGTGTGTGTGTGTGTGTGTGTGTGTGTGTGTGTGTGTGTGTGTGTGTGTGTGTGTGTGTGTGTGTGTGTGTGTGTGTGTGTGTGTGTGGTCTCACCGGCTGCCGCTTACATAATGCTACAGTAAGGCTCCTTTTTTTTTTTTTACCCCGCGGCAACAGTTGCTAGGGTTACCAACAGGTCATTCACCATGGCGATGAGGATAAATGAGCTCAGGGCTCCCATCAGCCCCTGGGTCACACACACCATGACTCCCTTTATCTAATGCACACACACACACACACACACATTCATGTTTTCTTCAGTACGTTGAAGGTAAATACTTGTACTCAAGCCCCTGACTTAACACTTAGAAAACCTATTTCACAGCCCATCACACACACACACACACACATGGAGCTGAATACACACTTTGTGGAAACATCTTCACACATACCATGACTCCCTTTATCTAATGCACACACAAACACACACACAAACATACACACATGTTTTCTTGAAACCTGAGAAGTAACCTTGTGGAAACATTTTCCATCCCATAGTATTCTCAGAGCTTCTCTGAAAAGCACAGGGTTGCTTTGACTCGTGCGACAACCTCAGATTATAAAAAGCTAAGTGGCTTGAACCTGCATTCTCTTTAATAACCAGCAGGGGGCGACTCCACTGGTTGTATTTGTATTTTATTTTTGTACAAAATCAATAACATGAGGCCTTAAGTGCATCATGTAAACGTGCCACATCAAGACATAGAGGCTAATTTAAATAAAATGAAGATCCACAAAAAGTCAGATTTGATTTCTTTCTGAAAGGGTTCACGGTTTTGCTCTCTAGTTTGAAGTCTTCTTCAATACTAAAGTCCACTTAGTAAATGATGGTCCAATTTAGAGTATATGTTTGACACTTTTATTCAGCAGTGAGCAAAAAATAAGTCAGATTGTATAGAAGACTTATGGCGCATTTCCACTACAGCGGGTAGCCCCGTTTAAGCGTCCTTAATCGTCCTCAAGCGGCCAGGCCAGTTTTTGGTGGCCTTTCCATATAGCCTAGCACCGCCTAGTGGGTACTTTTTCCCTCTTTTTCCGGCCCCATAAAATCGTGGTTCTATCAGGCCAGGGCTGAACTAGTGACGTCAACACTCTCGACTGCTGATTGGTCAGAGAGAATCGTCACAAGATTGCGCGCAAGATCATCCCTAGCGTCGCATATATATCTAGAAGCAAGCTTGCAGCATTTTTATACACAGCATTTTTGTAAACGGAGGAGCTACAAAAATGGCAACGTCAAAGAAAAGCACACGTGGTCGACCGAGGAGGTGACGACGTTCCTACATCTCATTGGGGATGATCAAATCCAGCGGGAGCTCGACGGAGCAACAAAGCCGATCGCCCCGCCTACACTGCGTTGCTACCCCAGGTTCTAAACTGTAATGGAAATGCGCCACGGCCTCGGACGGCCAGCGAGGCAGCCCGAGGCCTGAGCGAGGACGCTTAAACGGGGCTACCCCGCTGCAGTGGAAATGTGCCATAAGAGAAAATAACTTCTCACTTTATTTGCTACCTCAGTTAACATTTTCCTGACCAGTTTATGGTCTCAATCTCTGGTTGTAGGTCTTCTTCAATACAGCATGATCATAATTTAGTAACTTATGGTCCCAATTAAAGAAAAATAGAGAATGAAGCAGTGTATGTTTTAGGGCGGGGCTACCTTGTGATTGACAGGTTGCCACCATTTTGTTTTCCGGTATTGGTGTTGTGTTAATCGTAGGACTTTCACGGTGTATTTTTCGCTGAATGAAAATGAATTGTAATAGTGATCAGGCAAAACAATCTTGTTTACTACTTGGTTGTACCTTCCTCTGTCCTTTCATGTCACTTCTGGCTCTCAAAAACCAAGATATGGACGTCAAAAAACCAAGATGGCAACGACCCAGATGCCGAACTCGATGCTTTAACACCGTGGCCGTTGTACACTTTGTTCTTCTATACAATCTATGGTGTAACTCCAGCTTATCAAACGGCAGCATCAGCCCGTCAGTTATGAGCCTCTCCACAGATCCATCATTATAATAATGATCATCTGCTCTGACATCTCATACATCACATCCCCCGCTCTCATTAAATGTACTGTAGTCGCTCCTTTAGTCACACATTTCTGTCCATCTGTCTCCAAGCAGAGGCGCTGCATCGCACTTACGATGTGATGCGTGAGTGAATATGTGTCTTCAATAAGTCAACTTACCTTCTGTGTGAAGTTGAGAAGTAGAAATGTTTGTGTTTGTGATAACAGCCGACTGGACATCATTGTTTTCATTTGTTTACCATTCGTCTCCCGCTTGTGTATCCGTGTTGTAGACTTCTTCATTTTACTGTGAATATATTTATATTTTCCGTGCTGACTGTTCTCCTTTTACTTTTTGTGTACAGGACGACGTAGAGGTGGAGGATGACATGACCATTAGAGAGGTGAGACACACACACACACACACACACACACCTTACAGCCAATCAGGAAAACAGCTTACAAAACAACAAGTGCTGACATTTGGCAAAACTTGAGATGAATTTATTTTTATTAGCACTATTTATTTTTGTGATTATGTATTACCTTCTCCAAATATGTCAGGTCAGGTTGTCTGCTTGGTTTCCTCTGAAAAACCCTTTTAATTAACCTTTGTGAACGAGTGTAGCATGGAGAAAGGAAGAACCCATTATATTTTGGAGAGGATAGGGAAAACAAGGGAGATAAACAAATTACGTTTGACTTTCGGTCAATCCATTATTTCCAACAAATAATACAATCCTACAAATATGTAGCTTCAATTTGACAAATGTGTGTTTATTCGAAGCTGCCAATTATTCCTCATTTAGTCCCAAAGTGTGTTTTTCTGACAGAAAAGTCAACGTGGAATGGCTTCGTTCATTTTGACTGAATGAGTGGGGGTTTTAACAGAGGTGGGAGAAGTACTCAGATATTGTACTTGAGTAAAAGTAGAAGTACTCAGATCTTGTTCTTGAGTAAAAGTAGAAGTACTCGGATCTTGTATTTGAGTAAAAGGAGAAGTACTCAGATCTTGTACTTGAGTAAAAGTAGAAGTACTCAGATCTTGTTCTTGAGTAAAAGTAGAAGAACTCGGATCTTGTACTTGAGTAAAAGGAGAAGTACTCAGATGTTGTACTTGAGTAAAAGTAGAAGTACTCAGATCTTGTACTTGAGTAAAAGTAGAAGTACTCAGGTCTTGTACTTGAGTAAAAGTAGAAGTACTCAGATCTTGGACTTGAGTAAAAGTAGAAGTACTCAGATATTGAGTAAAAGTAGAAGTACTCAGGTTTTGCACTTGAGTAAAAGGAGAAGTACTCAGATCTTGTACTTGAGTAAAAGTAGAAGTACTCAAATCTTGTACTTGAGTAAAAGTAGAAGAACTCGGATCTTGTACTTGAGTAAAAGGAGAAGTACTCAGATGTTGTACTTGAGTAAAAGTAGAAGTACTCAGATCTTGTACTTGAGTAAAAGTAGAAGTACTCAGGTCTTGTACTTGAGTAAAAGTAGAAGTACTCAGATCTTGGACTTGAGTAAAAGTAGAAGTACTCAGATATTGAGTAAAAGTAGAAGTACTCAGGTTTTGCACTTGAGTAAAAGGAGAAGTACTCAGATCTTGTACTTGAGTAAAAGTAGAAGTACTATGATATTGTACTTGAGTAAAAGTAGAAGTACTCAGAACTTGTACTTGAGTAAAAGGAGAAGTACTCAGATCTTGTACTTGAGTAAAAGGAGAAGTACTCAGATCTTGTACTTGAGTAAAAGTAGAAGTACTCAGATCTTGTACTTGAGTAAAAGTAGAAGTACTCAGATCTTGTACTTGAGTAAAAGTAGAAGTACCAGAGTGTAGGAATACTCTGTTACAGTAAAAGTCCTGCATTCAAAATGTTACTCAAGTAAAAGTACAAAAGTATTATTATCAAGATATAGTTAAAGTACCAAAAGTAAAAGTACCTCAAATTGTACTTATCTTGAGTAATAGTACTTAGTTTGAATGCCACATCACTCAATTACTCCCAAAAAGAAAAGGTAAGAAATTAAGATGAAAGGACAACGAAAAGGATAGAAACAGAAAACAGTTATCATTGATTATTTGTTTGTTTTTCAGACTAACATTAAAACCTTAAATCTCGGCTTGCACATCCCCACCATGACTCTTTCAGATTCCTCAATATCCCAAAGATGGGCCGATTACCCTGAAGTCTTATATTTTTGGATCATATGACATAATTCATAATTCATCCATCAACAGCACCTCTCATTTCCTGTCTGTCAGCCGCACATCCCTCACATTTCCCCTTCCTTTAGTCCTCTCTGTATCCCTCATCGTTCACCTCTCATACGTCTGCCGTGTCACTGCGTCCCTCTTCCTCGGTCACCTCCATCATTGTGTGATTTATGGAGTCATTCAGCTTCGGAGCCCGCTCCATTGATTGTCTATCAGAGGCTGGTGGTTTGTCAGGAGGGGTTATGCGTTTGTTTGATGCTTTTGCCTTCTGATTAGTGACTGGCACGAGGCATAAAGACATCTTCTGTTAAGAGGAACTATTGTACACGCTGTCACTTCAAGTCAGACCTTTCAAATAAAGAAATGAATACACATGTTGATGCACAATCATGGCTATGCCCTCACACGTTTTGGATCAGAATACAGATGTAAAAAGCTAACGTTAGGCTATAAAGGAACTACATTACGGTCACATGACTTCACGTCACCACCGCTAAGCTAAAGGAGGCTAATGTTGGGCTATAAAGGAACTACATTACGGTCACATGACTTCACGTCACCACCGCTAAGCTAAAGGCGGCTAATATTGGCGTGATGACATTTCGTCATTAGCAGACACTGCTTTTGAATTCACCAGTGGGATATTTACTGACATAATTTGTGTGTGTGTGTGTTGCAGATTGCAGAGTGGGAGGAGAGGCAGCTTGATGAGCAGGTCAACTTTACCAACTGCAAGATCGACCCCGCCCCCTTCCAGCTGGTGGAGCGCACATCACTGCATAAGGTCTGATTGTAAATACAGCTGTGTGTGTGTGTGTGTGTGTGTGTGTGTGTGTGTGTGTGTGTGTGTGTGTGTGTGTGTGTGTGTGTGTGTGTGTGTGTGTGTGTGTGTGTGTGTGTGTGGTGTGTGTGTGTGTGTGTGTGTGTGTGTGTGTGTGTGTGTGTGTGTGTGTGTGTGTGTGTGTGTGTGTGTGTGTGTGTGTGTGTGTGTGTGTGTGTGTGTGTGTGTGTGTGTGTGTGTGTGTGTGTGTGTGTGTGTGTGTGTGTGTGTGTGTGTGTTATTCACCCTGATTAAAAGGACTTCCTAACAATTGCTTCTAGGGAACGAGAGCATCAGCACTTCTTAATCGAATAAGGGAAGGAAAGTTAATTTGTATAATGCCTCTTTCCCATTTAACATAAGAGATACAAATGCATTTTAACAGATTTAAAAGAAACACAAGCTGATAAAAAAGGATATTAAAAGTAAAATGGAAGATAAAAAAAAGCTTAACATAATGAAACAGGACAGTAAAACCATAATGCAGTGTTTCATTGTAATAGTTTTAGCTATAAAGTTAACAGAAATGCTCGTAGTCTCTCTTTGTTAAGGATGTATACATCTACAGATACAATAACCACCAGTACCTTACTCACACCTTAATAAGAGGCGTGTGGAACAGTTATAGAGAATATAGAATATAAAAAAGGGCATTTCTGTCACACATTTACCATTTTTGTTTACACTGGATACTCCTGGGTGTGTATTGACAATGAAGGAGTATACAGACAATGACAGACACACACAGACACACACAAGCCAACCTTCCCTTAATAAGTGCAGCTTTTGGAGCATGTGTGGATTTACTTTTCTTATTGCGTCACCCTGGAAGAAGCTCACACACTTTCCCCAGTTGAAACCCTCACACACACACACACACACACACACACACACACACTCTTCTGGTTGTTGAGGCACCTGATGCCACCCATTCATAATGCCTCCCCCTCTCTCTCTCTTCCTCTGGGCTCTTTGTGAATACTCTTTAAACATTTAAGAGAGGGATCCTGCACCAATCCATCTCCCACCTCCCTCCACTGCACTCTGCCAAAAGCCAATACCACGCACAATCTCCTTCAGCATATTAAACACCGTCCAACGCCAACGCCACTAACACTGCGGTGTGTGTGTGTGTGTGTGTGTGTGTGTGTGTGTGTGTGTGTGTGTGTGTGTGTGTGTGTGTGTGTGTGTGTGTGTGTGTGTGTGTGTGTGTGTGTGTGTGTGTGTGTGTGTGTGTGTGTGTGTGTGTGTGTGTGTGTGTGTGTGTGTGTGTGTGTGTGTGTGTGTGTGTGTGTGTGTGTGTGTGTGTGTGTGTGTGTGTGTGTGTGTGTGTGTGTGTGTGTGTGTGTGTGTGTGTGTGTGTGTGTGTGTGTGTGTGTGTGTGTGTGTGTGTCCTACATCTGTTTACACAGTCACGTGTGGGGACTCGCCTCCCTTATGGGGACAAATTTGTCCCCATGAGGGGAATCATTCATTTTAGGGTGAAGACTTGGTTAGGGTAAGGTTAAGGGTTAGGCATGTGTTGGTTATGGTTGAGGTTAGGATAAGTCTCCAGGAAATGCATGTAAGTCAATGTAATGTCCCCTGAAGTGATGTATACATGGTGTGTGTGTGTGTGTGAAGTTATTCTCTCTCTACCTCTCGCCCGGCTCAGCTTCTCTGGACCTGGCTACCATTTATGTCCTGCTGTTTACTGTTGTGGTTGTTGTTGTTGTTCTGTGTTGACATGCAGGCCTTTCTGTAAAGGACAAACCTGTTACTTGGATTGTTTACATGATGCCGATATGTTTTCCGCCCCGAGCCTCTGTCAGCACATTTGAGAAGTGGCTAACAGGACTCAAAGCCAACACACTTCCCTGATCAGATGTTGTGACAGAGAAAAACATTTTTAAAGCAGATTTACTCAGCCTATCCCTAGCAGTCTAGAAGCTAACTGAAACCACTGCCTTCTCACAGGTTTAATGAGTGATGCAATTCCCTCGAAGCACAGGCAGACACGAGTTTCTCATTACGGGTTTATTCCTCTTCAAATCCACCGTGAAAACTACACATAAACAAACAGTATGAATGAGAAACCATAGCACCATGTTGAGTAAAGTAATTCACTGTAAAATAAATACAAACACAACAACATACCTCGTTGGCTGCATGTCCTGAAACAGAGGGAAGTACTCTTGAGTCCTTGTAACTTTACTAGCATAAACTTGAGGTTAAACTAAAGTGACGTGAGCCTGGATTTTAAGATGAATGAATCTTAATCTTACACACAAGAAATATTGCAACAAGAAATTATTATTACACTTTTTGAACTGAGCTTGGCAAGAACTTAAACTGAAGCTCAACATGAAATGCTGAGAATGAGTTTTAACCCTTGCAGACTTTACAACAGTTGACAACAATAAACCAGGCTAACCCTCCAGAAGTGACCTTCCCTTATATCAACAAATGAAAAACTAGGTTCGATTGTTCAGTTTATAAATTATGCATTTAAAAATAGATTTTCAGTCTCGTTGGTTAAAAAAGGCCTGACTGGACAAAGTTAACTTGGTTCTGCCCAAAGGTTACAAACTCCTCTAAAAGTATAGAGGAGGCGCCACCGTTGGGGCGGTGGTGGCGAAGTCGATAGGGACTTGGCTTGGCAACTGGAAGGTCACCAGTTCGAGTCCCGGCAAGACCAAGTGCCACCGAGGTGTCCCTGAGCAAGGCACCGTTCCCCACACTGCTCCCCGGGCGCCGTTCAAAATGGCAGCCCACTGCTCCTAACACTAGGATGGGTCAAATGCAGAGAAACAATTTCCCCACGAGGATTAATAAAGTATATCAAATCAAATCAAAATCAAAACTTGTTACTCAAAACATTATATCAAATGATCTTACATCAGTTCAAATGGCCGTAAATGTCATTTGAGTTCAATCAAAATGTAGGTAAGAAAGGAAGTGAGAAGAAAGATAACATTTTCAAACAATGTTTTTTTTATTTGGGCGTATCTATGTTTTAAACTATCATTTAAAGAACACTTACATTACATCCCTCATCCTTTTCCCCCGTGGTTTTCACTTCAGATTAAACGCCAAACATGACCCAATGATTCAGGGCAGAAACGGTTATCTCTGTGCTGATGATCAATACATTTTCAGCCCTTTTTAAATCAGCTAATGTAAATCTGATGTGAACGGGCTGAATCAAAGGTGAGCAGACTCAGACTGCTTTTATATATTTTTAGAGCTACTTTTTGACAGGGGTCTCAAACTCAAGGCCCGGGGGCCAAATCCGGCCCGCGACTTCATTTTATGTGGCCCCGCAAGAGCTTGCAAAGAATATAATACGGTTACATGCTACTTTACAGAATATCAATATATGTTCATTTTAATTAATTTCTTATTTTATAGTTATTTATCATTCTTTTTGTTATCTTTGATTTATCCTTAATTTAATTAATCTGTGTGAATCTGTGCTGTTTTTCAATCTCACCCTGTTGCTGTCAAACTACTGGTCCATGTTATCTTATCTTACAGAAGCATGTTGCCCATAAACTACATGTCCCACAATGCATCTCATTTTGTGACATGCGCACTGAAGAGACTTGCAATTATTTGCCCTAGACTTCTGCTTTCAGACGGAGTTAATTATGAAGTTATTACCCTATCCGATAATAATCCAATTCAGAGGCAATCATATAATATAATACATTATTTCATATATATTGTGTATTTATATATGTATTTTTATATAGTTACAACCGGCCCTTTGAGTGCAAGCATAATGCTAATGTGGCCCACGATGAAATTGAGTTTGACACCCCTGGCCTAAAAACACGTAACAATCTCTGTCTCGGCACAGTGGCATCAAATGTCCGTTCTGTCAAAGCAAAACGTCTCATTAAAAACTAAAAGGGGTCTGGAAGTAAAACTCCAGTTGGCATCAATCTTGCAACCGTTGTAATCCACCGTTGAAGTTTTTTTGCTTTTAGCTGCACTCCCCCGACAGTCACTTCAGCAATGGAGCGGAGATTCAATGCAACGTTAATGACCCCCGTGGGGACATGGAGTCGTTGCTTCAGCAAATACAGTACTAATAGGGCAGAGAGTATAAAGGGAGCAGAAACGGGTCAAAGAAAGTACTTTTTCAACTATTTGAAAGTAGAAATGCCAGAATAAAGACACGTCTGGCACTGATGGCACTTCAGTAGCCACAGAAATATTTGGCTTTGTTGTTTTTGTTATGGATGCTGCATGCAAATGAGTCATATCGTTTTTTAAAGGCAAATGAATTCTTCTATTATGAAGCACTCAAACGAAGCTGCCAACATGATTATATATGACACGTTTGAAAGTAAGGAGGTTTTGCAGGATATGACTTACAGAACACTGTTTATTTTAAAGGGGAAATGTTGGGATTCACAAGATGAACTCATGTTAATGACTTCAAGTCTATTATTAGATAGTGTTCTTGACTTTAATGTCCCTTTTTTATGAGACTCTTAACATCTGCCACCTGCGTTCGACCGCATTCATGAGACAGCTGTCAGGGTAATGTGCGGTCGACACCGTTATCAGAGCCTCACGTCTGCATGTCCAACACGTCCCTGGTGAAAATTATATTAACATACCAATGATAACCAAATAAAGGCGTGCTTCAGTCATCAGCCGGGGCATCAGTAAAGTGTTAAAGCATGAAGTGAGACGTTGGTTGTTTTGTTGTGGAAAGAAATATCACATTTAATAATAATAATACATTTTATTTTTAGGCGCCTTTCATGACACCAAAGGACACCGTACGATTTGTTAAAAAAAAAAAACCCGCTAATAGGCAACAGAACATGATAAAAACACAAACAGGAAATCATGGAGGAGTCAAGTGGACACAAATGAAACATATAATGGGGAGCACTACAGTGAGTAGGCAGATTTGAACAGGTGGGTTTTTAATTGGGATTTCAATATGGTGATTGTGTCAGACTGTCGGATGTGCGGGGGGAGGGAGTTCCAGAGTCTGGGAGCAGTGCAGCTAAAAGCCCGAGCACCCATGGTAACGAGGCGTGGGGATGGTTAGCAGACCAGCAGAGGAGGAGCGGAGGGAGCGAGAGGGGGTGTACTCCTGAAGAAGGTCAGCCAGATGGGGGGGGCCAGGTTATGTAGGGCTTTATAAGTGAGCAGTAGGTTTTTGAAGTTGATACGGGATTGAACGGGGAGCCAGTGGAGTTGGATGAGGATGGGGGCGATGTGTTCGGAGGCCTTGGTGCCGGTGATGATCCGGGCTGCGGAGTTCTGTATGATTTGTAGTTTATTGATGAGCTTGGTGGGTATGCCTGAGAGGATGGCGTTACAGTAGTCGATGCGGGACGTGACAAATGCATTGACCAGGACTTCAGTGTTTGATTGAGAAAGGGATGGGCGGAGTCTGGAGATGTTGCGTCTGTGGAGGCAATTACAGATTTTGACAAACGAATATTAAACTGTTACCAACTTTAAATGTTAACACAGAGAGAGAGATCAATAAAACACAAATATGGTTGAGATTAATTATTATTCAGTTGCGCAACAACAAACAATAATATTGGAGTAATATTATATATATATATATTTATAATATCGCCTTGCTTCAACAGCAACCAATCGCAGAAATGTCCCCACAGACTAGAAGGATCTGGTGTGCTTTATACACGTAAACATACGTGGCAGAGATAGTTGATATGTTACTATGTTCCAGCAGTGGAAAGGTCATTATCTCATGACGTCTTTAGGAGTCTTACAGGATATGAATTATCCAATTAATATACGTTTGCACATGACCTCCTTACATTAACTAAGACACCAACATGCTTATCGTTTCTAATGCATGCTGATATGAACCACTAACTAACAAGAAAGTCTTGTTAGTTAGACCTTCCTCTGACCTTGGCCAATTTACTTACCATGGGTACATCTACTGATAATTGCGGAAGAGGCAATGGAGCCTCTCTGACCTGTGTTACCTTAATAAATACAATTTCTAGGAGGTGTGTGGCGCAGTGGGTTGTGCGTTGGTGTTAAGATCAGGTGGTCACAGGTTCAAACCCCACTGCAGTCAGCATGTCGTTGTGTCCCTGGGTTGTTCCACAGTGTTGAGTATGTAAGTCGCTTTGGATATAAGCGTCTAACCAGTGACATGTAATGTCAAAATAAGCGAGACACACACTGTGATAAGGAATCTGCCATAACAAAACCAAAAGAATATTATTGCGATATTCATGTAACATTGAAAGAAGTGGGTTATACTATCAGTCAACTGCATTTGGAAGTGATACTTGTTGTGTATTTGGTTATTTTTGGCAACTAAATAACAATTAAAATACAAGTTTAGTTAAGTAGAGAGAGAAACTGCAAACATTACTTTACAAAAGCAAATATAAATGATAAAATAAGTTGAGAAGTTGATAATAATTTGGGTCCTTTAAAGTGTCCCAATTTGACCCAACCTGAAGTGAACACTAGGAGGAAAACATTTATGGTAATTTTTGAGTACATTATTACGAAAGACGGTGAAATAATCCAATAGAAGAAATAGGGCAAATGTAGATTCTCTGTAATCGGTACCAAATTACAAAGTTATTTTCAGGAAGCTTCAAAGAAATGAGGTTTGATGGTCCCTTGTTATGTTTGAAGTGTCCTCATAAGGAACCTAGATTTCACAAATCCTACAAAACGGTATTAATTTGTTTTTGAAAATCTGTCTTTTTTGTATCTTTTAACGCTATAAAATCGGAGTAAATGTCTTTCTTTGGAGATTACAAAGCTGAAATGAACCACATGTTTATATACTTAGACATTGTAAGTTATGCAGATGGTGCTTGCAAAAAAAACCACCAAATTGCAGTGGTCCCATTAAGCAGATCACATGACGCGTTGAGTGAATCCATTTGTGAATGAACTTGTCAGCGTTGGATAATTGAAGTCAGTGGAGCATCTGAGCCTCATTTTCTGTAGAAAGCAGGAACTTGTTTCAAGTGTTATACTGTTAGAAAAATCTCACTGGTACCCGGCTTGAGCTCCACCTCAGGATCCATGTGTCTGTGATCCTCTCCAGAATGGAAGGAGTCATCACATACAGAGCATCAACTAGTTCCTGAACAGTGTCCTTCACATGCTGATATCCAAGAGAGGGAGTTACTCAGTCACACGGTGGAGGAATGACGGTTCTTGTAATCATACATCCTGTCATGAACAAAGTACTGAGTTTTTTCTCAAAATATTGGCTTTTTTTGTCAAAATCTCAAAATTCTGACATTTTTCTTAAAATCTAAAAATTCTGACATTTTTCTTTAAATCTAAAAATTCTGACATTCTCTCAAAATTCTGACTATTTTTCTCAAAATCTCCAAATTCTGACATTTTTCTTCAAAATTCAGACTTTTTTTCTCAAAATTCAGACTTTCTCTCAAAATTCTGACTTTTCTCAAACTCTCAAAATTATTTTTCTCAAAATATCCCATAAATCTGACTTTTTCTGAATACTTAAAAATGTTATTCCCTCGTCCCCGGCTTGAGCTTCAATCTCAGGATCCATGTGTCTGTGATCCTCTCCAGAATGGAAGGAGTCATCACATACAGAGCATCAACTAGTTCCTGAACAGTGTCCTTCACATGCTGATATCCAAGAGAGGGAGTTACACAGTCACAAGATGGAGGAATACCAGTTTTTTCTCAAAATGTTGACTTTTTTTCTCAAAATCTCCAAATTCTGTCTTTTTCTCAAAATCTCCAAATTCTGACTTTTTCTAAAAATGTTGACTTTTTCCTCAAAAATCTGACTTTTGCAAAAAAAAATTGACTTTTACAAAAAAAATTGACTTTTTCTCAACATTTCAAAATTCTGACTTTTTCCTCAAAAATTTACTTTTTCTCCAAATTTGACTTTTTTTCCTCAAAATTCTGACTTTTTCCACAAACATTGACTTTTTTCAAAATCCTGACTTTTTTTCAAAGCATCTAAGAATTCTGACTTTTTCTCAAAAACTCAAAAATGTTAATAATCCCCGGCTTGAGCTTCAACCTCAGGATCCATGTATCTGTGATCCTCTCCAGAATGGAAGTAGTGATCACATACAGAGCATCAACTAGTTCCTGAACAGTGTCCTTCACATGCTGATATCCAAGAGAGGGAGTTACACAGTCACAAGATGGAGGAGTAGAAAGCAGTATTCAATGTTTACTTCAGATTAGCTCCACGTCAGAAATGAGCATGCTTGATGTCTCTCTCCATAGAGGCTGAATCATCATGTTAATCACATAGCTATCATCTGCCTCAAACAGTCCTGATGCTCTTCTAGGTAATCACACATCCTGTCATGAACACAGCTACAGTTGGGATACCTTTGTTATCAAGTGACTCTCATGTTGGAAGAAGACATTCAGTATTTCCCAACATGTACTGACTGTATGGTTCTTTGGTGTTTTCCTGCAGACCCACACCATCTTCTCCCTGCTGGGACTCGACCACGCCTACGTCACCAGCATCGGACGCCTCATCGGGGTCGTCTCCCTCAAAGAGGTAAGGGTCCCATTACAGCGTGGGTTCTTTAAGCTCTTTCACATCAGTTTGCTAACCCATCATGGACATGTCGTGGGTTGGGTTCTTGACTTGCTGCACAGGGAACGATCATGCCTGTTGGTAACGATCGGATGCCGATGTCCTACGTGTAGAGGAAGCTCGTCTCTTATACGAAGTTCTGAGACTCATTAATTACACAGGAAGAGCATTCGCTGCTTCTTATCGAAAATCACTGTGAATGCATCAGTGCTGTCACTGTGCTACACACACACACACACACACACACACACACACACACACACAACATCACCACACACACACAATACACACAACAACAACACACACAGAGACAACACACATAACCACACAAACCACAGACACAACACAAACAACACACACGACACACAGACACACCACAAGAACCACACACAGACACACACACACACACACAGACACCACACACCAGTACACGACACACAACACACACACACCCACACATACACACATACACACACCATGTCACACACACAACACACACCACAAACACAGACACACACAC